AGTGAGACTCTGTCTCAAAAGAAAAAAAAAAAAGAATAAAGACTAGTTATGTTTGCCATATGTAATATATATAATATAAATTTAAGGGAAGAGAAGTAAATTTTTTTTTTTTTTTTGAGATAAAGTTTCACTATGTCATCCTTGGTAGAAGGCCATGGTGTCACAGCTCACAGCAACCTCAAACCTCAAATTGCTTCCAGTGGTTCTCAAACTTCCTAATGCCACGACCCTTTAATACAGTTCCTGTGGGTCGAGACAGGTTGAGAACTGCTCGTTTAAGTGATTCTCTTGCCTCAGCCTCCCAAGTAGCTTAGAATACAGCTAATATTTTTATTTTTTGTATAGACAGGAGTCTTACTATTGCCCAGGCTGGTCTTAAAGTCTCACTTTGGACTCCCAAAGTTTTAGGATTACACGGACTGAGTCATGGCACCTGGCCCTAATAAATGCTATTGGCTACAGATTGCAAATGAAAATTAATTCTGACAGGTCCTTACCTTCACAATGTTTCCAACAACAAGCTCTTGATTATTTTCAGTATCTGATAAAAGCTGCTTAATCCCATTGATACGATCGCGAAAGTCTTTTGCATTTAATAAACCTGTTATGACTTTAATGTACTCAGCACTTTCAAGGGAATTACGAGGAACTGATTTTCTGGTGACTTCACGTACTTCAGTCACCTCTCTAAGGTGAAAGAAAGGTAAATTTAATTTCATTTTTACTTTCCTGAACTACAAACATAAAAAATTTTCATTTTAAATTCACTTTCTAAAATTCATAAAATGATCTAACCCACAGACACAGTTTCTGTAGGGGGTCTCCAAGTTCTCTCCCAGAACGGATTTGCTAGGAGGACTCATAGGAGTTAGCATATACAGGTAGTTTTACTCATGGCTAAAATTTATTACAACAGAAAAATATCAAGCAAAATTAGCAAAGGAAAAAGGTACATAGGCCAAAGTCTGGGGGAAGCCAGCCTCAAGCTTTCAAGGGTACTTCCCCAGTGGAATCACATAGGACACACTTAATTCCTTCAACAATAAATTGTGGCCACGTGTATGACATGTTGCCTACCAATGAAATTTTAGAGTTTCTATCTCCAGGGTTTTTTTTTTGTTTGTTTGTTTGTTTGTTTTTTGAGACAGAGTCTCATTTTGTTGCCCTGGGTAGAGAGAGTGCCATGGCGTCATAGCTCACAGCAACTTCCAACTCTTGGGCTCAAGTGATCCTCTTGCCTCAGCCTCCCAAGTAACTGGGACTACAGGCATGTGCCACAACACCTGGCTGGTTTTTTTAGAGATGGAATCTCACTCTTGCTCAGGCTGGTCTCCAATTCCACAGCTCAAGCAGTCCACCCCCCTTGTCCTCCCAGAATGGTAGGATTACAGGTGTGACACACTACACCCCGCCAATGTCTGGGTTTTCTACTGGGAGCTGGTCATATATGGATCTCTACCTAGGATACACCAAAGTTCCAGACTCCCAGAAAGAAGGACATCTTCAGCACAAGCCACAATGTTTGCCCAAGCTACGGAGGCATAGTCAACTATTTCATCAGTTAGATAATAGTGGGAATCCTCTTGAAATCCTAGTTTCTCCATATTAGCCAAAAGCTAATCTTGCAAGCAGGTGTTAGCCAAAACCTAACCTCACAAGTAGGCCTTTTTGTTTATCTTTTTTTTTTTTGAAGACCAGGTCTCACTTTGATGTCTGAGCTAGAGTACAGTGGCTTGGTTATAGATGACTGCAATCTCAAGCAATCCTCTTTCCTCAATCCCCAGAGTAGATCAGACTATAGGTGCATGCCACCACACCTGCTAAATTTTGTACCTTGAACAATCCTCTTGATTTGGCCTTCCAAGGTGCTAGGATAAAAAGAATGAGCCACTGTGCCCAGCCAACAAGCAGGCCTTTTGAAGGATAGAAGTCTCAAGGCTGCAATGCTTTTTATTTTATCTTTTGAGACAGAGTACCACTCTGCTGTTTCAGGTTAGTTCTGCTGTGATATCAGCCTAGTTCACAGTAACCTCACATTCCTGGGCTCAAGTGATCCTCCTGCCTCAGCCTCCTGAGTAGCTGGGACTACAGGCATATACCTCCACATGGGAATATAGGCATGTACCTTCACACCCAGCTAGGATGTGAAGGTATACAGGGTGGCCATAAAGTTCGTATGCACAAATTTTATAGTCACCCTGTATTCTTGTTTTAGTGTTTGCATTTTTTTCTTTTCTTTCCTTCTTTTTTTTTTTTGTTTGTTTTTTGAAAGTCTCACTCTATCCCTCTCAGTAGAGTACTGTGAAGTCCCAGCTCACAGCAACCTCAAACTTTTGGGCTTAAGTGATTCTCTTACTTCAGCCTCCCAAGTAGCTGGGACTACAGGTGCCCACCATAACACCCGGCTATTTTTCTGTTGTAGTTGTCATTGTTTTTAGCAGGCCCAGCCCAACTCTGAACCAACCAGCCCCGGTGTACATGGCCAGCGCCTTAACCACTGAGCTGTAGTGGCAAGCTATATATTCACAACACACAATAAATGAGCCCCCCTCTCATAACAAAGGGCTTAATGTTTGTATTTTTGAAATTATTTTTCCTTAAACATAATTATATATTACTTTTTATCATTAGAAGAAGAAAAAGAAAGGCTATAAATTAAAGAGAAATTAATCAGAATTGTCCAACATAGGCCTAATATCGACAAGTTCATTAAAACTTTTAAAGCTTTACTAAGGTCTAGTCAATGTAAAAGCAAAGTTCTATAAATATATAATTGCCTTATTAAATCTAATTACCTTACA